CTCGCAGACGAGCGCTCGCTATTTCCTGCCCTCACGTTCATCTTCACACATGACCCGCAGGCAAAGCAGAGCGTCATCAGGACTGCCTCTTCACAAGCATGTTTAATGGCTACGCTTGTATTAGCCCGATCTAGCATAACACAAATGTGATCTACAGTATGTTTGTGTCCGATCTTGCTCCCATTTGTGTTTATACATTTGGTCATCACTGTAATTTCACACCTGAAGGATGCAATACACTGCCTTTAATGTGTCAAATACTGAAATATAGAACTCAAAGCAAGGCATTTGTCCGCCACCTTTTAAAACAGAAACTAAAGTCAGTCGTGGCTTGGTGAGCTTCCTGAGAAGGAGACGTAGGCGGAGTAATGTTGAGTCATTTCAGCAGATGGTGTAACTTCCAGTAAGTCTTTACTGAGACACATGATACCATATCTGCTCAAGGCAGTGCTTTCAACTCAGACATCTTCCCAACGACATCCACTATCCGGAAATCTTCAGACCCTCATAGTTTGACCTGTCTGAGTTTATGCTAAGAAAATAGCCTGTCCTTTGTTTTTACATTTTTTCTTTATTTGCTTGCAGCTTGCAGCTTTTTTTTTCCTGGCGACTGAACATAGGGGCCATTCAATATTTTAACCCAGCTGGTCCGAGTGCAAATTTAATCTCATATGCAAAACAATATGGAAGTTCGTTTATTTATTTATTATTTATTTATTTGTTTTCATTTGTCCATACTTGTACTTTTCTATAGACTATTTATCACCAGCTTTATTATGATTGTTATTATTGTTAACTAATTACAAATTAGGGCTTTCAGAGACTGTGCTGATAGTACAGGTCACTACTGCAGTGTCATTTATCAGAAATAGTTCATCCTTTGTTTTTTAAAAACCGGAAATAACGTTGAAAAAAATCAAACACTTGGATTAGATCAACTACAAATGAGGAATTGATTATTTGAGGTGAAACCAGTACCTACCTCTTATTTAATACACTGTGAATTATTTTTCAAGTAAGCCAGTCTTTCACTCTTTAATCTCCAGTTATGTAGGCTATCACATCCTTTATGCAACAAGTTCACCAAAGACTGCAATTAGGCTACTATAGAGTTTAATGCACATGTAAATGTCGCTTAACATAACACCGTATATTCATTTATAATACAGCACAACATGTGGTTTATCATGTTTAACATACAATAGATTTGATCTGTTTCATTGCTACATTTAGGATACAATTGGTGTATATTGGTGTAAGTGGAAATATATGATTTTGTGTTAGTTCCTAGAAGTTGTTCCTTTTATGTCAGTGTATGTTAAAAAAACCAACACCACATATGTCAGTATACGAAAGGTAACCAAAATCTAAAGGATATGTACATAACATGTAACTTGACACAGAAATTCAAAGTGTAATTTATAAACATTTTCTGTTGTACTTCAACATAACTTCAATGTTAACACAGAACTTTTTTTTATATAGGGCCTACTCATGACATATTTCACGTAAGATTAGAGATTTATCTTTATTGTCATTGCATGATATACAACGAAACTCAGTTGAAGCAATCCTGTTTGCAGCATATAAAATGTAAAATATAAGATAAGTACACATACACCAGCACACATACAGAAACAGAAACACAAACCAAGCACATCTCACCCATACCCACATACACATTCATACCCAAAAACATACTACTTATTATGTATGTCTGTTTTTAATATTGACATACTTCGAGACTGTACTTATGTCATGTCATCTCTAGGTTCTATATTTCTGTTGAACAGATCAATGTGGAGCCACCAGGGGTCGCTAGTGTATTTAATATATTACAGTTCAGCCTGCTGTCTGAGACTTGGAAGAAGTATTTAGATTCATCGTTATATAGCTTCCTATTACACTTTCCTGAATTGGCCACATGGGTGCGCTGTAGACCTGCATAAGTCCTGACAGTCTTCTAACCTATCAGATCGACTGTTTTTTTCATCATTGTAAGATCCCACATGATCATATGCAGACTCTTCAACATGTATTTAATTTGACTTTGTCGAACCCCTACATTTGTTTCAATATCAGAATCTGCTTCCATTGGTACTTTGATTTTGGTGATTTTTGAAAAAGTCGCCTGTTTATCCTCCTACAGGCTATATCTGTTTACTGTTTATTTATTCAATGATCACGTTTTAGGCACCTGAAAGAGGGCAGGCCAAGACCAGGGCATTCCTCCTGTCACAACTCATTTCCTGAGAGATTTGATTGACCTCTCATTCACTGAAACAATGCAGCTTACTCTGAAAAGAACCTCAAGAATTTCCATTGGGTCATTTCTTTCTACCTTCAACTTCATTTCAGCTTGAAGGTGTGGACTTCATCAAAATATAGTGAATCGTTTTCTCACCTTAGATCTTGTTACTTTTTTTGAATCTGACGCATATTGTAGGGCTGATGGCCTCAGTCCCATTTACCATACGGTAAAGATCAGACTCTTTAATATTCAGGCCAATATTTGTGAGACAGCTGCATCATCAAGGAAAGAGCCAATATCTTTAAGTTGAACAACATTGATCCTGCTCCCTTAAAGCAGTGGCTCTTTTTTCAATGGCTGAAGAATATTTTGTCAAACCTTCATTTCAAGAAATGTACGGTTATTTTGTTGTGTTGTTTGTTGCTTTCCTAATTTCTTGCAGGTTCAGTGTTGAATCACATACTTTAGCTTTAGCCTGTGCTACCACTCTCTGTGAAGGCCTGTCATTATTTTTCGGGGTCTTTTTAGGTAAAGGGCTCTTACTACGGCTTTGCAACATCTGGAAACAATACAGCTGTGCTGGTTTTCTGCGGTACCAGGGGGCTCTGAGGTTGTGGGCTTGGTTGAAGGGGGGGGGGGTTAGGGGTTGGGCTAGTTTCTGCTTTGGCCCTAGGGGTCCATGTGTCCCTGACTTTAAAATAGACTTGATTGCTAGCAGCTGGCGGTCCTAACTCACCCGGTGTCAGAGCTCTCCTCTGATGTCAACCTTGTCAGTATCAAGGCCCGGACAATGTGTGGCCAGCAGCATGTTAGAGGTAGAAAGGTGGACATGTCCTCCTGAAATGAGATTCAGAGAATGACCTCTTTTTTTTATGAAGATTGTTACCATAAACAACTTTTAAGTTTTTGTCATGTGACCTCTGAATGCAGGAAGATGTACATAAATACTCTGAATTAGATATTTGAATGTGCAAAAAATAATAAATGCCTCGATGAGTACAAAGTCAAAGGTTTGGTTTCATTGTATATTATTCTATTTTAAAGCCCAACTCTATCAAAAAATAATTATACTGATATTTGACACTTACATTTATCTGATTCGATTGATATCTGGAACCTGATATCACTTTTCAGTAGGCCTGTTTTTATAAAGCTGCATCCTACTATTCACTGCCTAACTATGAATATTCAGGACAGCAGCTCATTACCATCTTATATTATCCAATTACAAACTCTGCTCGCCTAATTACCTCCAATCAGCATCAAGAGGAGAATGATTGACCTCCCTGGAGGACAGGAATCGCTCAGGACAAAAAGGACAAACTGGTTTACATTCTCTTATGGACAGAAAAAAGTGAGAAACAGCAAGTAAGAATATTGAAGTACCACAATATAGAAAGGTGGAATTTTCTTATAGCCTTTTTGTTTTTCAGATGAATTATAGTCAGTCTTATGATACAACCTCTCAGTTACACATGGAGGTAAAATCCAGTTATTGATATTCATGATAGTTGCAAGCACAACATGAAAACTTAAAACTGTTCTCATTGATGCTACATTTTTAACTTGTCACAGCATGTCTTATATACTAATAACACGTTTCCACATGGTCTATTCTACCTTTCCAAGGTTATCTTGTACATTGGACTCTGTTATTGAGTTTGAGACAGGGAAAGATAGGAAATATCTTTTTAAACTGCTGCAGAAACGATTATCCTTCATCAGAGGATGAAGGGCAGCCGCTACACAAGGTTGTGTTTGTAACAGAGCTATGCATCATTATTAGACAATTAATTACTCTGTCATCAACACCAGCAACACTGTTCTAGTGGGATTCAGTCGCAGATGTTTCTAAACTCCGCTTTGACAACACTATCCATAACTGAGGAGCAGTGGATCCTGTTTCAGGCTTTAACTAAACTTAACATTTTCTTCTCACAGAAACTTTCAGATGAACTTTTTTCTCTCAGTTAGTTTTGAATCTTTGAATGATGTCAGGAAAAGCCAGGAATAGCACTGGGTTCGGCCGCTGGGACGAGCTGTTGTTTACAGACAGTGACAGGGATGAAGGACCTCTGTGCTCTGGTGCTGGGCCCGGAGCCTCAGGGGTGTGCTAGCACTGCCTCTGTTGCTGTTCTGGACACTGTAACAACACACACACACATACACACAAAGACCCACGCACATGTGCAGGCAAACTTATGTGCACGAAGCTACAAAAAACATATATTATTGTCTCTTTTATCTTTATTACACACACTGTAACAACACACACACACACACACACACACACACACACACAGCCTCCCTTCATCCTTATCTTTCCTCCACACACTCACACAGCCTCAACTGCAAAAAAAAGAAGAAGCTTGTTTCAAATCTAAAGCAAACTGTCAAGTGAACTGACTATGGACCCGTTTCTTCTTTTTATATTGGCTTTACCTGCTGACTGCACAGTCTACTGTGTGAAGTCAATCCAAGCTGATGCCAGAACAAATCTTTGTGATGTAGTCACTTGTGGGTTTTCTAAGCTAAACGATTTAGCAATCACTTTAAGTAACTATGTTGACCTTAACACTGGGGTCAAGCCAGGTTTCAGATTCACAGACATAAGGTAAGCACCATCATCATGTCATTTCTGCACTCTGGTCAATTGGACTCCCTTCACTGCCGAAACACACTGCAAAAACAAAGAAACACAACGCAATGCAGTGCAATATTGACAAATTCTGTTTAATATTGTGTGATACTTTTCTCTTAAAATACAGTCTTTTCTGAGGTAGACCATTACAGTTCAAGAACATTATTATCATTTTTAAAACAGACATCAAAAAAGACATGAAATAAATACTTTCATGTACAATATGTCGCAAAAATGAGGTAGAAATGGTTACAGAAAAACTACAATAACCAAGAACAAATTTACCGCAATAACAGATCAAAACATGTTAAAATATAAAAGCTTGTTTAGTTGGACAAACTGTTGGAGTAAAGGGAACACCTACAAATCAAAATGATGAAGCTATTCAAAGCTCTAAATGTATTTTATAATTTAATTTTGACTATTCTAATAATAATGGACAGCTTTACCTAGAGTGCAAAGCTTGAGGCAGGGGTTGTTCTGTAATTTGTAAATGTGTTTTCAGTTTCTGCGACACTGATCAGTATGCACAGTGGGGGTCAGCCTGATTGATCTGGCTGTACAGCATGACTGAAGCCACCAGCTGGAGAGGGACGGCTGCACTGTGATATAGGGTTGCTGGACATCAATCAGACCACTTCCACTCCGCAGAGGAATCGGTACAAGGGAACGGGAAGGTGAAGGGGTGGTTGGGGGGAGAGGATACAACGCCACATGGCCACTGGGGCTTGTGGCCAGGGGGCAATCCAATCTAATGAGATTGCACTGTGGACAGAGAAAAAGAGAAAAATAATGATGAGAGAGAGGGAGGGAGAGACAGAGGGAGGGGGGGGTGGTAGGAAATATTACATCATTCTGTGTATTCCTCCTCAGGACCATGGCAACAGTCTCATACATACGACCTCTGTACTTGCAGCCCAGTGAGCAAGTTTTTCCAGCTTGTTAAAATAGAACCGTAGGACGGGTGGAAGGAGGAGATATGTCTGGATTGTCTACATGGTGGCTTCATCCACAATATGCACACATACACTGCATTGCCCATCAGACTTTGGGATTTATTGAAAGCTACATCAAACCACGTATTCTTTACTCTTTTTTGGAATCTGTCATTTGGTTTGTCCTTTTGGTAGATAAACTGTGCTTAAATGTTGCCATGACTTTAAATGTATGTGTACATAAAACAGATATTTTGATTTAGGATGATTTTAAAGACATTCATATAGAGGATATGTATAACCCAAATCACACATGTTTGCAAGCAGTTTGTCCAACAAAAAAAGGAATATTTTCAGTATTCTATATAACACTTCTTGAAGACAATCATCACTCCACCATAAACTACAATAAAAATAAACAGAAAAAAAACAGAAAAAAGAAAATGTATCTATATATTCATATATAATAATACATGGATTTATGGCATCAAATATCCTTTGAAATACCTGAATTACATTCAATGTTACTCTTTGTAGCATATTCAAGTTTCTCTCCCGAGGTAAAAGCCCAGCTGTAGTGGGTGTTACGAGACTTGTCAGGTTTCTCCTCGCGCCTTTCTCTCTCATCGCACCACTCTCTACTAAGACCCTATGATTACATACATTCTTTAATTTCATATTTCTGAGGTAAAAAAAATTCTTCCTGAGGATTTCAAACAAGACTACATACTAAGAAAACAAAAGGAGTACGTGACACAAACAGGCGGGCTGTCGGAGAAGCTGGGGGTGCAAAAGGTACCTTTTGTTCGGTGAAAAGGATTCTCAGGAAAACTGGAGACAATCAGGAATGTGAAATGGACAAAAACGTCTGGGAAAGTTGCAGACAAAAAACCCCAAATTATAATTAGTTAACTGAAAATTGTACCAATCTAATTGTGAGTATAATTTCATTGGTGATTCTAATGACAATAAAAGGGAAGTATTTATACAACCAAACATGTTGATATCAACTAGAGAGTGCTGTACCCCAGTCGCAGTCAAGACTTGACAAAAGCAATTTAACTTCCTTCTTTCTTTTTGTAATTGTAAGGACAAACTGTATTACATTTGGTGAGAAGCTTTCAAGAAGAATTGTTTCTGTTTTTTTGTTTCTGTTTTGACCCTAAGTACAATAACAGCTGATTATGCATTTGGTTTGATGTGTTTTTGGTAAAAACAAAAACAAAAAACTGGTGTCGATCCCCAGCCCTTTGTACTGAATTAGTGACAATCCAATGACAAAATCAACATTAGTAGAACATGGAAGTAGATTGGCAATAAATAGGATCCTGAGAGAAGCAGTCAAAGGGGGGATTTCCAAACCCTGATTATCCATAATCTTGGACCACGTCACCTAGCAACAAATAATTGATTTTGTCCTGGACCAAGGCTAATCAGGATCTCCGAAAGAATCCAAATAGAATTTAAGCTGATTTTCCCATTAGCCAATAGACTAATAAACTACCCCACTCAACAAGGCCTTTTCATCTGTCTCTTCTTTGGGAAAAACTTAATATTGCGGATATTCACGTGAAAACAAAGACAGCACACCATAGCATGCTTCTGCCAGTGAAACAATTCTGTCAGTCCTTTCATTTGTTTAGATTCACTGGCTCTTTTGGCTGCATAATCTGTAATTACAAAACAACAACAAAACATTCCCAAGGCTTGCTATGTCAAACCAAAGACAGGGTTGTAATGTCCGAGTACAGCGACTGGCTACTTTCTCAGTGGTTATACATCTTGCTCCATTCTGTACAAGTGTCCAGTTCTTTTGCGGTGGTGTGTGGGCGCACCTTGCAGAAGGCATTCTCAAAGTCTGTGAAGGCTGGGGGTTTAGAGGAGGTAGGGAGGCCGTGCATGGCCCCAGTGGGTGAGGCTGCAGAGGAGAGTGCCTGCTGGGTGAGCTGAAGCAGCTCACACACTGAGAAGCCCTCTGTGCGCTGAAGGACAGCGCTCAGCTCCCTCTCGCTCAGACTGCAGCCCTGCGGTGACAGCGTTTGCAGCAGCACCTGCCTGCGCATACCCACATCAGGCAGGCCGACATGATACCGCTTGGCAAAGCTCCGATGAACTGCATCTTGCAGAAGATCTGGCCTGCCAGTGGCACAAACAAGAATCACCAGACCCGTTGTTCCCACCTGGGCCTTCTCCAAAGTGGTCAGCAGGGTCTGCCTCAGCCCTTCTTCCTCCATTGCCTCCACCTGGCTGAGCAGCACCACCGAGGGCTGCCGTGCCCCTGCAGCTTGCAAAAGAGACCCCAGAATGTGCTCTGCCTCTGCCTTCCCTTTAGAGGCCAGTGTGGTTCCTCTCAGTCGGTAAAACGAAGCCCCAAGCTGTGAAGCCAAAGAACGAGTCAAGGTTGTCTTACCCCCACCCTTCGGACCAAAAAGCAGGACGGTTCGTGGCGGCCGCACCACTGGACTGGGCCTCAACACAGGCCACAGGAGGTCCTCCTCAAGGGCAGTCTTGACATGGGTGAGCCCGGTCAGCTCGCCCCAGCCCAGTGCTGGGCTACAGTCTAGTAACTCCCCATTGACAAGATCCAACATTCGGGGATCTGGGCTCTTCATAGACTCAACAGTAGGAGCACATAAAGGAGGGCGCTTGTGGGCCTGGGAGGGGTGTTGCTGTTGCTGCTGGATGTAGTCCTGCTCCGACACCACATTCTCACCCGTCATGCCTGCCTGAGGGCTGTACTGCCCTGCACCGTACTGGGGAGACACCAGAGGTTGAGAGGAGGGCTTACTGGGCTTAAATGTTTGAGGGTCTGTGCTGCCTGAGCTGCTAAAGCCGTTTCCCCGGCACTCTGTTTTGTCATTCACACTGTAGGGTGAGTTTCCCCCGGCTTTCAAGTTATAGCTGTATTTCCTGTAACGAGAGCCGTCCCCGTTCTCATCCTCGTCTACGCTCATCTCGAACGCTTTTCTTTTTAATGTCCCCCCCGACTCAGATGTCCCGAGGTTGGTGCTCTGGTAACTGTAGCTGCCTCCTACCACTGTGGGCCTCGAGGGGATAGGAGTAGGGGCTGATAGACCTGGAGGCAGGTAAGTGGCAGAGTGGTGGCTGTAGCTTGGGGCAAGGCTGGTCTGGGGAGGGTATGTGCTAGGGGGGTAGTTATAGACAGGTGTTGAAGGGCTATAGCTGGCAACCAGAGATGGTGTGGATTGGAGAGTGTGAAGGGAGGCAGGGGGAAGTGCTGCACTGGGTTGGGGACAGTACCCTGAAGAAAGATAGGTTCCATTGTAGCTGGAGGGGTACTCACTAGAGCCACTACAGGAGCTGCTGCCGCTGTAGCCTGAGTCTGAGAGGTTACTGTTTACCACCGACACACTGCTGACCCCCGGCGGGCCTGCAGAAGTGGCTACAGCCTTGGAGCCTGAGAGACTATCATGGCCTCCAGGGGGCACTAGGGAATAGGAGGCGTCAGTGTTGTGCGTCAGTGGCCAGGGCTCCAGTTCGGTCTTCGGGCCATTTAGGCCCCCAAAGGCCCCTGGCTCTGGGTAAACACCTACAGTAGGCGGCCGTTCATAGGGAGAGTCAAGTACACCAGAGTACTTCTCAGCATAGCGCTTTAACAGGTTTGATGCTGTCAGAGCAGAGATGTCATCGTTGGCCCAGGCATAGTTGAAGGAGCCACGGCCTCGGCCAGAGTAGATGTCAGACTTGTGGGCCGGAGAGGAGGTGGTGGAGGAGACATCCAGGTGCTGCTCAGGCCACTGGCTGAGCGACTGGGCATGCTCTGGATTCCAGTGCATCTTTAACAGGCCTGCAAAAAAACACAAAGAAACCAGACTATAAATTTCCTCTTACTACATTTATCACAGGAAAAGGATATGGGTACGAAAAATATGTCTCTGAATATCTGTGGAAAACTGAGCAGTACGGCATTGTGGGCATAATATTTAAACCTCATCCAGTTATCTCTAGTCAAATAAAGAACTTCAGTTTAACTTATCTTGCTAAGTGAAAGATGTTCTGATGACATCCTCTCCAAACGGCCAGTGAGAAATCTATTTTTTCTTGTTAGCAGAAGGGACTTACATTTCCCAGAAAGGTAGAGGAAAGTAAAGAGGAATTGTAGGACAAAAAGAGCGAATGGCTTTAAGACAGTGACTGAAAGCTCATCAGTAGGCTGGCTGTGTTTTTCTCAGCTTTTACTTAGGTTGTGATAAGATCCCACTACTATTCCCCATACTGCCAACATCTGCAGGTCTCCCAGAGGAGCTATTGTTATCTCCATGAGCATGTTGCTCTGAATGCTGCTCTCCCCACCCTGCACCCCACCTACCACCCACCAATCTCCAACCACCCACAGTACACCAGCGCTCCAAAGGCCCAATGTCCGACAGGGAAAAGAAGGGAGGGAGGATTTGTGTGAGTCTGAGTGTGTGTGTTTGTGGACTGTGGTGTGGAGAGAGTGAAAAAAAGAAAGGGTGTGTGTGTGTTTGTGTGTGTGTGGGGGGGGGGATTGCAGCATAGTGTGCTATTCATCAGCACAGTCTCCCATGGAACATTGGGAAAGTGGAATGTCTGTTCCTCTGGCTGACTTCAGCAACAGCCAAGCTCTGATTGATGTACACTGAGCACAACACCAGGCTAACAGGAAAGAGAGATAATGTCCTGTGAATTGTTTTCTTAATGTCCCCTTATGCAAGCCACAATATAGTCATAATATTTCAGTAAGGTATTCAGCTGGCATTGCATCTGAATGTGTGGAGCGTGCACATTTGGCAATCTGACAACTCTTTTACCATTAGCGCAGACAGAGGTCATTTGCACCTGCAAATGTTCAACGTATCTAGCGATTCTGTTAACCTCTAAGCCCATTTTATAGCGTGGCTGTGTGTTAAACTGTGAATTTTCACATGTAAGGGACTATAATGAGGTTGTTTGCCAAATACATATCACAATCTGTTAGTTATAGAAAAGTCTATGTCATGGAGAGTAGCACTAACTCTTGCTGAAGCATAAGCTTTACATTCCACACATAGCTTGGTATTATTGAACTGTCACAATTTACCCTGAGGTGAGGACTGCTAGAGCCAGAAATTGGGGTAAAAAGGAAAATGGCAAAAGCCGTCATTACTGGCCGCTCTGCCCTGCCTTCGCCGGGCGCCTGATGATTCATTATTCATGGCTGTCTGTGTGTGTGGAGCCAGGCTTCTTATTGCCATTTAAATCAAATCTCAATATACTAGAGCCAGTGACTCTGCTGCTGCTCTCCCGCTTTCTAGATCACTCCTAAACTTTGGCCTCTTTTTTTTACCCCCTTTGCAAACCTCACCATGTGTGTTTTCAGATTACACCCGTTATTTATTCAGTCAGATGAGACCAGCAGACCAGATGGCCATTGGATTATCACGTCCTTCATATTCAAATCCACTGCCTTAAGTTCCCAATGGCCAAAACCAGTTCAAGTACTTCCCTAAGCTTCAGCCGATCCACACAACCACACAATCCCTGCAGTAAGATGCAAAGGAACGTTCTCACACTCTGTTCAATTGTTTCATGCATGCTGAACATGCTGAAAACATTGTCTTCTCTACACCCAGATGACCACATATTTTTGTGGTCTGACTCAGAGGTCTTTGTCCAGGTTGCAGAAACCGTATATGTCCTGCAGGCCCTTCCCATCTGCAGCCCAACCAGTGAGCAGCCCCAATAATGGGGCCTGTGTGTGACAGAGATGGATGAGAGCCCAGGGGAGCTCATAAAACCTGCAACGGGGAGGGAGGGATGGAAGAGGGAGGGAGGGAAAAGAGTGGACAGCAGGCACTTCGTCCTATCTATGCGGACTGGAGCGGACATTAGAGGACTCAGTGAGGCAGGCTAACTGCTGTCCAATCTATCATTAGAGTAGCACCAATACAGAATGGACTTCTCTCAAACAACCCCCTTGACCAACATAATGACCAGCTGCCCATACCTGAAGAACCAATTCACTGTTAAATCTGAGAGTAATTACTTTCTAAAGTCCTTTTAAAAAGTGCATTATATTCCTTCTGTAGTTACATAGTGAGTAAGATGAGTGATGGGCCGCCAGCCACCCCTGATGAAAACAGCAGGGTGGTATTGCGGTTTAGCCGTTTCCATGTAATTATATCTTGCCTTCTTCTGGATTGTGGTTTTTAGAGCAGCAGCCCTTTGCAATAAACTGAGCAAGCTTTAATCTACACTTCTGCTTAAATCAGAGCCATCATGTAGATTAATTCACTGGAGAGGCAGAAAGAAAGCTAAGATTAGAAGCAGGAATCAGGACAATGTGGACATATTGTGGGAAGCAGTTTATTCGTTAGATTAACTACAATGTATGTCTTTTTCGATTTTAGCTTGATTTTAATTATCCTGAAAAACGTATATAGATAAAAAATAACACCCTGCTAATATGATCTTTGAAGCTTTTAGGGGTGTTGCATGAACTGTTTTTCAAACTTTTACTTCAATCATATATTTTCCTGCTCCTATGTGTGTAATGACCCTGTCATTTAGCTCATTTTTGAGGAGGATTATGGGGAAAAAAACAACACATTTTATATGTATGGACAAGGAAATCAGTGTGTTGGAAAATGGGAATTGTGTCCTTATTTAAATAAGCTGGAAGCTTTTGTTGCTGTCATCACTATGAGTAAATCTGCTGTGTGATGCAGTCAGACGGGGGAGGGTGCTCTGTTTCAATTTGATGTGAATTGTGATTATTTGGGATGTTTATTTTAATATGTGATTAGAATGCTTTTCTGTTGACCAGAGGCTTTTCTTTGCTGAACGGAGGTTGGTAAGCACCTTGTCTGTATGCACATGAAACATCCCACTATGTGTGTGTGTGCTTGTGTGTGTGTGTGTGTGTGTGTGTGTGTGTGTGTGTGTGTGTGTGTGTGTGTGTGTTTGTGTGTGTTCGTGTTCTCATCCCCAGGAGAGACAGATGTTCTTCTGCTGACCGCCTTACTGTCTGTGCAGCCATTGTGGCAGCCGTCCGTCCAGCAGACGTGCGCGGCTTGGACAATCCAGTTGGCCCTGAGACAAAGCCTGCAGGATCCTTTTGTCAGGGGCCTGTCTTATTATGGAAATCTTATTAATCTATTCAGCAGCAGTCCACTGACAGCTTTTGTGTCACCCTGGGATTTATTGAGGGACCTGTGTGAGCTGCATCCTATTGTAGGAGTGCGTGATGAAGACAGTGGCACAGCTCTCTTCAGCAGAAACCAGCTTTACTCTCAGAAGGCCCTTAAATCCAAATTAGACCACTTTAGCCTCAAGGGGAGTGTGTTAAGTTCATTTTGTAATTTCTGCCCTCCAATGCGCTAGACCGCTTTATATCACTGAATCCATGTTGACTAGGTGAAACCTAAGTAGCTTTTTGGCCTATAAAGGCTGGTTGTTCTCTAGACTGTGTTGTGGTTTCCTATAAAAGAGGTATTGGTGGTTGATGTGAAACGTTATCTTGGCAGGAAGCCCGGAGGTGGAGGGCCGTTTCACAGCGCCCCTGAGGTTGTGTTTCCCTTCTCCCTTCCCGGCACTTTTGTTCCTTGCCCAGAGGGACAAAACGGACACGGATGCTACAACCCTTCTGGGACAGCACGCTATTAAACCATGCCGATCGTGAAGAGGCTGCTTGTAAACAAGGGAGCTGTGGATCAATCCAATCAGGGCTCTATTCAGGGCAGAGCGCTTCCCCCGCCCACTGATCAGAGTAAACAACCAACACCTTCACTACATCATATATGTCCCCACAGATAATACATCTGGGCAACCAATGCGCCTGATCACAGAGGTATGAATCCTAAATTAAAACCACTTAGTAATTATTTTGCAGGGTGCAGCAATAAGTCAACTTTGCAATCACAACATACACGAGACACAATAAAGGGAATTAAAAAGTTATCCTGAAAATAATGCAATGGATATTTCTGTTAAGAAAATGAGCAGCCCAACCAACCTTCTTCCAACTTAATACTGGCTGTCTAAGGGTCATTTTGTCAGTCTAGCAAAAAAAGGTTGCTCGTAAAAGCATCTAGTGTGTGAATTCACTTTCATCTAGTGTGTGAATTCACTTCACAAATATTTCTGCAATACTTCTGGACAAAACGTTGCATAGAGGTCAGTGTCAAATTGTTTAGAGAATGCTGCTGCGTCTGTTGTGGCAGTAAGAGCTTCAATATTGACATCATTTCAGAGAAAAGCTTAAAATGAGAGCTGCTGCAATAACGGCACACAGGCGTACTTAAAGGGGAACGACAGCTAAAGAAGAGAGACACCATGTTAGTGCTGATAAATCACAGGCTTGATGCTCCGATGACTTCATCACTTTGTTATGTTTTCAGAAAAGCACAGACTGATGTTTATTGCCATTTGCACAAGACATGGACATGATAGTTGAGTCATTGGATAAAACTCTTGCATGCTTGTCATAAAAATGATGTTTTACTCCAGGAATTTTCACATCACTTTGGTGCAGTTTAGACAAGCACAACCAATAAAGTATTTGAATAATGTGAGCTTCGGGTGCAGAGGGAGCAGCGTCTGCACACAGGGTCTGTTATTTATAAGTTTGTTATCTTGATTTGTCGTTCACTCTTGAAAGCCTCTTGAGTCCTCTGTTCTCAAGTTCACTGTGATTTATGACACTAATATCAAGCAGGACATTTGCGCTAGGCTGTGGCCGTCCTGTCGCTGCATACTACCTGGTCTGTCATAAAAACACCAATCTGAGAGGCCAGCCACATTTCACAGTGTGACAGGTGGAGACAGTGGAAAATTGTCTTTGGACAATCTCTCAGTTTGGAATAAAATTCACATTTTATCACCTCTTTCACAGTTGGTACCAACATAATGAAAAGTTATGATGGATTTCCACTTATGTTGTGTTATGTATGTTGTACTATTGTCATGTTAAAAATTGTTCTGATACCTTAAACAGTTTTACTCCACAGATGATGAAAAGCCTCTACTATAAAGAGTAGTATTGTCAAAAAGCTGTTAAAGTCATTTTGAGCTCATTTCTTGAGACCCTTCCTAAACCTCCTTAGGAAGCGATGATGGCAGGGACCATAATTAATCAGACATGCAGGGAAAAAAATATTATAAATCTATGTGTTAGTCATGGAGCAGCTATCAATCAAAGGAAACACAATCCCACACTCCTGCGCTGCCTCTTGCTCCCTCTGGCTCATCTGCTCCTTTTTTCACGGGCCCTAAAAAGACATGAAAAGTGCTCGACTCCTGCTGGGGAGTTCTCACACCTGCTCAAGCAGACGCAGCTCTTTTCAAACACATCTCAACAGTCCAGTCCCAGGAGGAAGGAGCCCTTCTCCTATAGTGGCATTGAGGGATGTCCTCTGTGTGTCTCTCCCTGTCCATGTACCTTCCTCTGACTGTGGTTAGAGCGATCATGTATCAGAGAGACGGTTTGTCTTCTACTCATTTTTGTTTCATAGCCCATTGGGTATGTTTCAGGTCAGCTTTAAGAACAGTTTTTTCTCTGCCTGTTCAGCTAATGTATCTTTATTAAATGAAAGGACAATGCAACATACACACAAACAGTATTTTGAAGACATACAAAAAGCAGCAGAATAAATCACAACGTCCTTCTATGCAGTATAGAGTATAGAATATATCACAACTTTTGTTCAAACTAATTTGGTAAAAGGAAAAAAACAAGCTTCTATGTGATCAGCAGCCAAAAATAAATCATAATCTTTAAAAAAAAATTAAAAAATTTGCAGAGTGGACGGCAGAGGCAATAACAAAACTACTTAATGGTCATTTTTAAACATTGACTAATTGACAAATGTGTTTAGACTTTCTAAATATGGTGCAGCATAAAGTAGATTTCCTTCTTTGAGCCTGCTTATTTTACAGCCATTTTTACAGAACTCATCAAAACCAGAAAGCCTCGGGAATAATTGCTGGATGCGTCACTTCATGCTCGTAATTTTAGAAACAACTCCCCCATCCCCCGTGCCTGCTAACGCACGTCCACAAATGGCTAGGAGCCCCTCCCCTTCAAGAAAAACAGGGTCCCTATTTTCTGAGGCTGCAGGCTGGCTTTAGGTCATTGTGTCCACTAATATATCAAAGAACAGCTGTCCTAAGGCTCTGTGATGACCAATCACCCCTTCCATCTGTCCCACGCGCCCAATCTCTGTCCTATCTCCCCCTCTCCAGATCTATCTTTTCCCTACAATCTCCTGCTTTTGCCTGTTTCTCAGCATCCCCACCTCCCTCATTTCCCCATATTCCCAGTGAGCATGTTGCATTCCCTCCTTTCTGTCCAAATCCCCCTCTGTGCTCGCAGCTTAAACTCTCAGCACACGGACAGCTCTGGGATTGGTTGCATTCTGCTTTAACACACACGAGTAAAAAGAAAACTAGATTTTCTCGACAGCCACAATTGCCTGCATGGCAGCAGATTTTATGATCACCGCACTACAAATAGTGCATGGCATTACGATTAAAGTATATATTTCTCTAGCATAGTCATTTACTAATAAGCATTTCCGCAGTGAAAGATGTTGTATCTTATTGTTGTGCTTTGAATTCTGCTGTCTCAGGAATCCAGTAAGTGCTGCTATCCAAGTGAGCTTCACCACCTCGCTCCTTAATTGGGCCCTTAACGGAGTTCTCCTTAATGAGCTGATGAACCATCGGAGAGAGACAGTGCAGGGTGCCGGTGGACGCACAGGGCCCTGGGTCCCTAACCTTTTTTTCTTTTGGCTGCAGATGCATGCAAACAGAAGGCATACACAACCACAACCAACAACTACACAACCACACAACCACACAATCACACACACACACACTGAAGGCTAATTAGAGCCCATTCACACCCTTCCCTAATGATCCCAGTCCTTATCCATGAACACTTTAGTAGACTGTGTGTTTACTAAAGGGCCTCACAGGCCCCTCCACTGCACCTCTCATAGCACTCGGCCTACAATAGGGATAGATGCCGACTGGCCCTTCAACCTGCTTCTTCAGGGGCCAGGATAAGATCTACTCCTTCTTTTCCTATACACACTACTCCATGACTTAGCCGAGTCATTCACAAAGACGCTTGCACAAAACATAAAAACAGAGAAAGGAGAGGGAGAGGGGTCAGTCAGAGGAGAGCAATAAAAAGTAAAAAAGTGTGTGTGTGTGTGTGTGTGTGTGTGTGTGTGTGTGTGTGTGTGTGTGTGTGTGTGTGTGTGTGTGTCTGTGTATGTGTGTGCTGTTTTAAAAGAAAAAGTATCACTACACCAGCGGGGGCCCCCAGCAACAAGAGTTAGGGCACTCCTGGGTTGGCGGCCTGGGACTGATTTAAGAGTGTGTTTGAAGTGCAGATTACAGATTCTTTGCACCAAATCCCTCCAGGAGTATCCATGGCCCCTGGAATCTCTCTCAGGTTTCTGCTCAGGTCCAGTTGTGGCTGTTGGCCTCAGCTTGAGGTCCTGTGTACTGGCCAGAGACGAGGACCAAGACCGGACACGCCAAGGCATAATGAGAAACACACAGATGTTTGTAAAAGCTGTCCTGATAAAGACCTAAGTATCATGTAAGGTTCCTGCCATGCGTGCATTCAGAAACTGGTACTTGTCTATGCACAGGGAAAGAAATGCCTACAGCAGGAGTAAGAAGTAACATTGGGAGGCAGAAAATACGCCAAACTCCCAGCAAATTGGATTCCAACATGGAGGTGAGAGTCTTCGCATGTCCTGCACACATGCAAAATCCCTCACTGTGGGATCTTTTCTCAACAGAATCATGACTACAGTCTTTAACCAAAAGACAGTGAGCTGCAGTGTCACCAGCAAGCACAGTGGTGTTTGTGTGTCACTGGTCTGAGAATAAACAACGTGATTACCTAACACTGCTATGTGCGCTTGATCATTTCCTCTGTCTATATACACGCACACTAGCAGGCTGTTCTGAAAACGATCTGAAGGCTGCAGGAGCGCTGCAGAACAGAGCTGCTCTGTACATGAGGAACCATGAAGTGACTGAGCAGAGCGGATGAAAACAAGTATTGTACATCCTGATCATAAAAGCAAATCACACACAAAGGCTAGTGCATAGTTTACTAGAGGATTCCCATGAAGGAGCAGCAGTGTGCTGGCAATGAAGGCATGCTAGCTATTCCACCGGCAGTTTGTTACATTCTTGGATGTGCTGGCCACTTTAGCACCAGGGAGAGTATGTCTGGAGACGATGGACTAACAGGGTTCAGGGAGCTAATGGAAGAATATCTCTTTAACAGGCTTTGATGGGATGTATCACAAGCATGCATGCATGCTTTTGGAAATGAATGTTCTATCCGTGTTGTTTGTGCAACTAAGCCTAATTGTGTGAATACTTGTGAACATCTTTTCATGTGAAAAACCCAAAATATCTTCTCTTGAACTGGCAATCAGAAGCCACATATAAGAAAAAGAATTCACAGCAGCACACAAGTCATCTTCATATTTGGCAAAAAAAAAAAATTACAAATTTTAACTTACAGGGTTACAACTGCATAAAAGCAACAAATTGTCACATTAAACCTGGCTCTTTTATCCAGTTTGAATTCTCACACCCACACACTTGTTCTACACAGCCTTACTCAATCCTTCAAATTCAAAGATTTTAACCATCTATTATTATGTAATACTTTTTAAATCAACCATTTTGTTTGATTTCTACCTCTTTTCATGTAACTGTCATGCCTATAATGGTCCTTTGAGGGGGGTTAAAGAGCTGGGAAAAAAGGGGCTCCTAAGGCCGAGGCCACGGAGCAGCCCCATGCTGTCCTGCAAACAATGCTGTTTTGGAGAGCAAGAGCACTAGACTCAAATGAAACCTGGTGGGAGGGTATGTGTGTGTGTGTGTGTGTGTGTGTGTGTGTGTGTGTGTGTGTGTGTGTGTGTGTGTGTGGGGTGGTGGTGGTGGTGGTGGGGGGGGGGGTCCCAAAACTGGACACATCAGTTATTAGGTCAGCATTGAAGAAAGAAACGAAAGAGAGAAAAGGGGGGAAAGGAGGAAGAGAAAGAGGCAGCGTGTGCAGAGCTGTGTATTGGTAAAATGACACCAGTAGAGCCGAGGGGTTTCTGCTGCTTAAACCATCAGCCCTCCAGACCCCCTCTGTCCCTTTTTCTTATCCCAACTGTGTCTTCCAACTAGTGATGAAACATTCAGTGTGCCTGGTTTACATTTCCACAGTGCATGTCAAGGAGAAAGTCAGGTTTCTGCACCGGAGCTTGCACATTTCACAGTTACCTGTGCATTTTCCATCCTGCTTGTAAACTACTGAACACAGTGTCCACTCCTGCTTATTTTTAGCTTGGGGGCTCATTGATTAAGGCAAAGTCCAACTAAGTTGAAAGGGGCTGTGCGGTGTGACTAGCAGAAATGTGGAGAGAGAGGAGTGTGTAGTGTACTCACTGTAGGGGACAATAGGACTCAGCATTCTGTGGAGCTGGTCTCAGTAAGGAGGAACGCTGTTTTGTGAATGCCAGGTAAGGTTAGTGTCCATCCGGCTGTAGTCCATCACAAGCATGAGCTCGCACTGACAACAGAACAGCCCTGAGAGAGAGAGAGAGACAGAGAGAGAGATGTGAGGCAGTTACAGGCTGCTGCACAATGTCTGGACTTACACTCACATGTCAACCAACGCTTTCACACAAGCCTGCACAGCAACACAAACCTAAACACACACACACACACACACACACACACACACACACACAGACCAGAATTCACCCAGAGTACGATAGAATTACTGACCAACCTGAGAAGCCTATCAGCGTAACAAAAACGCACACACACGGCCAGCGAAAGAGACGCACACAAGGGTATTCATTATAGGCCGGCATTAAGCTGATTGTGAGGCAGCGTTCAGCCTCTGAAGAGAGCTTTCTAAATCTGCCTCACAAAAAGAGTCATGCATACCATTGCTTCGTGCACTGGGGCAATAAAAGCTTCATTCTTAGAACAGCAAACTGTTATATAGCTGCATAAGAAAAATGCAGAGGAAAACAAATGTACCAAGCAATGACAAACTTTCAGGTTATCTTAATTAATGCACCTCAGCTAGAGGTGTACAATCTCTACTCTAAGAAAAAAAAAAATGCTTATATTTGACTACTTTCAAATGTCAGGCAAAATAAAGAATGCACCCTATCTTTTATGTGATTCAGGTTGTAGATTTTCCTATTCAATCATGAACAGATTAAAGATAGTTTAATCCTCCAGTTTTGATTGTTTTATTCTAATATGAGGCACCTCCTGGAGGTCAACCGTGGGATTAAAAGAATCGGATATTTTTTTTACTACCACAACAGCCTTTTGTGTTTCTTTGTCATTATGTTGACACCAAAGCAATATTTGTATTCACACTGGAGCTAAGTTGCAAATGAAAAAATAAAAAAAAATAAAAAAAATAAGTCATTAAAATCTGTACAATTTATTTTGACACATTACATGTACGTGTTTCCAAGTATAAGAGATATAAGTAATAAATAATAAATTGTTAAGTTGCTGTGTTCATTAACAAAACAAAAACACACAAGGAAAACCTTCCAATCTAAAAGAAACCATCCTACCAACATTACTAATGTACCATTAAGGCTTTTATTGCTTTTAGACATTATTACAGTTGTCACAGAGACTTCATTTTTCCAAAATGTATAAAGGTCAGAAATATATTGACATTAAATAAAGGATAATTCATATTGAAGAGAAAGTATTCAATGACTGCATGGCTGTACCTGGACACCAACAGGCTTCACATACTACACTGCATCCCACTACAAGCCCCTCTGTTCTGACAGTCAGTCAACTTTTTAACTCTCAGCCCAGAATAACTAACTACACAGCAGCAAACCACAGCTTCCATCAAAACAAACAGCGCACAGTTCAGAGAGAGGGCTGAGTTTGGAGGGGTTTGTTGCACAGAGAAATGTCTCATGGTCAGTGGCCAAAGAGAAGAGCTTCTACAACACGCTCCAGTCCTCCTCCAACTTCAGCTTTCCAGCCAAGCCAAGTCAAACAGAAGCGAGAACAGAGGGCTCTGCTGACAGCAGATCAACACAGAGATGCAGAAAGATAGGCAGCCTTACCTATTCATGCCTGCAAGTCCTCCATCAGAGCTGAAAGTGCTACGATAATCCCTGGAGCAGACCAGACCTGGTGTGCACTGCTATGCTTTTTTTCCCACATATGGGACACAGCTTCACTCTCTCTCTCTCTCTCTCTCTCTCTCTCTCTCTCTCCCTTTACCTCCCTCGCTCTCTCTGGCCAGTGACAACACAGTGAGCACTCAGCTCCCCTCCCCCATGAATCTCCCATCCCCCTTCTCCCTCCCCTTCTTCTCTCTCTTTATGCTAAAAGTATTTAAGTAGGGAGAGAGAGAGAGAGAGGGAGAGAGAGAGAATAAGGGGAGGGCAGCAGAGAGAAGGGGGGACTGACCAATCCCTCACCAAAGGAGGGAAAGGACGATCATGTTGAAGCCTGAACACGGAGGACAGTGGAGCGATAGATAGAGAGCGAGAGAGAGAGAGAGAGAGAGAGATTGAAGTTGGAGGGAAATGACCAGATGACCAGTTTAAGTAAAGTTTGACCACGAAGGATTCAGAAAGGGCTGAAGGAACAGGGATCAGATTGTGTTGCAGTCTTAGTTTTTCTCTTGAAACAGATAATGATCAAGCTGCTTGTGATCTTAAAGTCATCACTTGGTCAAGAAGTTATTACATTTAGCTAATTAGTCCATATTTTGTCCATTGACCAGTGGTTCTCAAAGTGAGGGTCGGGATCCCCCCAGGGGTCGTTAGTCACTAACATGGTGGTCACGAGATGCCTTCCAAAGAAACAAATAAAACATTTAAATGATATTAAATTGTGTATTTTACCCAAAATTGTAATATATAAGATGTTATCCAATTTCAAATAAAAGCATATCATTAAGTGAAAATAAAACATGTTACGTTTTGAATGTCCACTCACTGCTAAAGTACATTACTTGTATTCTGCTCCTAGCCTTTTTTCCAAAATTACCATATAAAATATTTGTGTGTGTGTGTGTGTGTGTGTGTGTGTGTCTGTTTGTGGTGGTGCGCTGCGTTATAAGCCTTAATCACCTCAAGAGAAAGTAGGGCTCCCCAATCTCTGGCACCCTTCTTTTGCGGGATGTGCGCTGAGACGTTTGGGGACCCTGCATTAAAACAATTTAGACTCTACTTTTAAATTGACATTTTTCCTTGAAAAATGCGGCAACAACATCAAAGCCACCCCACCAAAATGTCAGATCACAAGTTATTGTATGTATAAGGATGCAGGCTGGTCTTCTTCCAAAACCTGGATAATTAAGAAGAATGTTGAAAGACAAACTCATTGTGTGTGAGAAATCGTTTTACAACTCACAAGGTAAGGAAGGAAAATGATAATAGAGTGGTGCTATGTGCAATGAAGTTTTCTCACACTGAGGATTAAAATCCCAGTCCCTACCACAAAGCAAGCATACACCTTCTTTATTAAACACTGGTATCTGCAATACCCATAACCAAAGTACTGATTTTGAGCTAATGTTGAACAGGGTCCAGTCCGTAAGCAGGGACAGACAGTTAACCTGCACTTTGTTTTAATTAAATAGTTTGTATTGACTATCAAATAAGGAGAATATCTTGGTCAGGGTCATTTGTGTCTGATTTTTTAGTTTAAGTTTACTTCATAGAAGTTTGTGATATGGTTGCTAGCAATCTAACAAATCAAATACTGGATTTAAAGAGATTTGTCATTAGGTCCTGTCTTTTTCACTGTAGCGCTCCAACGAAACCCAGTGATTCCTGAGAAGGCTCATCAGTGGCAAGCAAACACACAAAAGCCTGTTTTACACAAGCCTGATTTACACAGCAATTCTGCAACAGCGCCATAACCCCATCTTTTGAAGAATGCCCTCACATTACTCTGTGTTCCACTGTGTCATTTTACACAGCGTTACAATGGAAGGAGCAACATGTAAACAAACAGTGTCAGTTTAACGTACACACACAGCACTGTTCAGTCCTGATGGCTTTGCTGTTTACACAGACACCATAACGCCTCTGTTATGTATCTTTCATTACCTTTGATGCATGTTGAGCAGCAGAGGGAAGTGGCCCCACCATTAGGCCTCTGTGACTTTTACAAACACAGCAAGGTGTTACAGAACAGACTGTGTAATAAGGGTTTACAGCTACAAAACATGCAATAGAGACAACTTTAGAAAAACATAATTTCACTCACAAAAGTTTCAGACCTCCATCTATCTCATGGGCAGGTGCCAGTCTAGTTTCATGGACTCGCTCCTCACCCACAGCTGTCAAGCTGTTAATAGAGCCACACTCAGCGCCACACAGCCCAGTCATCTCCTCCTGTTACATGGAGCCACTACTCCAGTAAGACAGTTCTCTGTTGCAATGCCGCACAGATACAGGATACCACTCACACACACGTACAGTTACACGCACACGCACATGCATGCGCACAAACACACACACACCCACACACAAACAAATATTCCTATACATGTGAGCACATGGAGTGAGCGGACCAGCTTAAAATAGAGAGGGATATTCTGATCATATGTTTGGGGTCCAAAGCATCCCATTAACTTCATCATATGACGGTATCATGGAAAGTGATTGCTCTTAGAGCAGCCTGGAGGCAAACTGACATGAAATAAATCATTCTGTTATAAATCCATTCAGTTCATTGTCTGATGATAAATTCATCATGTTTAACATTAAGGATAATTTGGTTTTATTGTAGTAATAATTCATACTGATAAGACATATATCTTGTAGTAATAATTCATACTGATAAGACATATTTATTGTGTCAGTATGTTCAGGAAGTCTAGCCAGGCAAAAGCAGCAGTTTTGAACAAAACTTTACATTGATCCAACTTACTTGGAAGACAAAATAGATAGTAATATTTATTATATAAACTGTCCATTAAAGACATCCATCTGCTTACTGACTTCTTGCTTCTTCTTAGACCCACCTGATATGTAGTTCTTCCGTATATCTGATCACCTGGCTGTGTGTGTTTCATGTTCCGTCCAATTTTCTTGTATCAATATCCGCATGTTCTGAAATCTCATCAAAACCGTATCGACACAATATGAGCAAAGAGAAGTAATAGCCGAAATAACAAAATAAAATCCAAGTTGAAATGGAGCTTGTTTAAACTTTAAACACATGGCCTCTGAAACCTCTGTTGTAAGACATGTGGCCTGAGCTATTTTCGGAGATGCCCCAGTGGTCACTGACATGGCTCAATTTGGAATGTAGGGCAATAAACCCATTGGAGGAAACGTTGCTACTCATTAGGGTAGTTACAAAACTTAACACACCCCATGAGTCCCAGTTCAGAACCACAATTAGACTACTTAATGTTTTTCCCTAATATGGGATCCTCAATAGATTTGCTAATGGTGTCTCTGTGGGGGGTTAGGTGAGGGTACGGTTGAGTAGGGATGTTGAAAGCAGACAACTCTGGCACTCTATCACTCTTTTGCCTTATTAGTGCTGAGGCAGCAGTGTGTGGACACAGGCAGCCTGCTGAGCCCAGCACTACTGCAGCACAAAGACTTCAGGGCCCCAGGACAGGAGACAGGCCAAAAACTGAGGAAAAAAATAGACTGAGTGAGAGTTTTAAAGAGTCAGAAGCCCTTTTCAAACTGCTTTTTTTGGTGTGCAAAAGTTCTGTAACTAAGCTCAGCCGTCATCACGTCTTTGAACATTCATACAGGTTCCATGGCGGCGTAAAATTGGTGTCCCAGTCCTTGAATTCACATTATGTTTCCATGCACTGCGCTCCCCCGCTGGCTCAGCTGATACCTTCCCGTCTCTATAACGCCTCTGTTACTACTTCTGAAGGGGATCACTTCGTACCACCATTAGGCTCTGGGACATTCAGAATGAAGGCAAAAAGTCACAGGGGCGTAAGATCTCAGCTTGAAACTGCAGTCTGAATCGTGGTTAGAGACAAGGAAGGTATGCCTGCACAAACTATTCTCTCATGCCTGATCTTGACAGGTGTCAATAAAGATCCCGCCCCCTAGCTCCTCTGACATGCATTAAGATATTTCTGCATACTTGTGACAGCTCAGTCTCCCTGAACTTACAGGGGACAACCAGTTCAATTGTCACTGGGGGCCGTGGGTTACTGTCAGGGCGGAGAGACAGCGAAGGTGCTGGTTAGAGGTTAATGGAGAGATATGAGAGGCAGACAAAAGGGCCATGGCAGGCTTTAAAATGACTCCTGAATTGAGAGAGGGTACAGGTCAAAACACTAGTGTTCAACCTCATACTGCCGGGCCATGTCAACACAACACCTTGGATCAGAAGGTTGTTCACCCAACGATGAACTGTGTTAGCAGGTCAGCTACTTTCATCAAGACAAACTGATGAATCAGGGTTCTAATTATGTTAAATGGAAATCTGCATGCAGCAAAGACCCACAAGGTGATTATCTAAGCAAAATGTCATGCTTAATAGATGTATGGATGTACAATAGTTTCTCATGCGATAGGAGGAGGGTCCAAGCACTAGCAATTTTATGAAGGTGGAGGAGACTGCAACATATATTCTCTTCAGAAATGTGCCAAAAATGTGTGTAGACTTCCAGAAAGAACACATGTATTTATGGATTATCAGTAGAATGGGAATTGCATGCCCGGTTAACTTGGATTAAAACCTAGAAACTATAATATGTTTATGAGAACTCAGATCTTGTACCTGACATTAAAGACAACTGTTGCAGTTGGATGGTTGGAAATGTGTATGAAAAAATCCACCAGTCAAGCATATTTCTTGCCAAATTAAGTACATAAATTCTTTGTACAGTTGGGTGGCTCCCTGTAAATATTGCCACATACTGGTTGAAGCAGGGTAGCTGATGTCCCATACAGTAAACAGTGATGCGTGGTGGCTGGACTTCCTGTTTATGCATTAGTGTATATATTTTTCTTGTCAGCCCACTCTTGCCAAGCTCCATCATGCAGATAACTGAGGAGCATGTGAAAGAAGCTGCAGCCACACAAAAAATTGTCATAAAAACTCTGCATAGTTTTTTACCACATTTTTATCAACTTTTTATGAACATTTACCCATCATGCAGCAGATAGCCCTTTGATAGTAACTTGCCAAATAGAACTTCTGCCTTCATTTGGCGCTTGGCATGTGTTACTTTGGACCCTGGGTCTGACCTTGTGAAAATAA